ACAGAGATAACAGAGTGATCTTACCATGTGCTGGTTCACGTCCTTAAGTTTCCAACACTGTGGCATAACAGGTAGAGCTGCCAACTGTCCGGATTTATTAATAGTCCCATATTATATGATATATATATATATATATATAGTATATATATAGATATATATATATATATATATCATATTTCTATGATCAAATTATATATATTCTATGATCAATTATGTCTTTTTTTAAAAGAGTTTATTTATTTGTTTGGGAAGCAGTTACAGACAGAGAGGAAAAGAGAGAGATAAAAGATCTGCATCCACTGCTTCATTCCCTAAATGGCTCCAAGGGCTGGAAGGTGTCCTGATCCAAAGCCAGGAGCCAGGAGCTTCCTCCAGGTCCCCACATCAGTGCAGTAACCCAGGGCTTGAGCCATCTTCCACTGCTTTCCTAGGCCATAAACAGAGAGCTGGTTGGAAGTGGAGCAGCCAGGTGACAAACCAGTGTTGATATGAGATGCTGGTGCTGCAGGTGGAGTCTTAGCCCACTGTCCCACAGTGCTAATCCCCAGCCATGGCTTTTAATTTCTGTGTTTGTCTGATAATTGCGGTGGCCTTCTAATTGGCTGTAGGAAATATAAGCAGAGAAAAGAGTGCATTGCTTTGCTAGGGTGGCCATAACATAATACTGTCGAATATGTGGCTTCGAATCACAGCATATATTTCTCATAGTTCTAGAGATTAATATTTGAGAGCAAGATGATAATGGGTTTGGTTGCTCCTGAGACCTCTCTTTGGTTACCACATAGCCACCATGTTACTGTACCCTTACATGGTATTTCTTCTGTCTATGTGCATCCCTCCTTATAAGAACATTGATCAGTTTGAATCAGGGCTTCACATTTATGATATCATTTGATGTCAATTATCTGCTTAAAGTCTTATCTCCAAATAGGGTCACATTGCTTGTCAGCGTTTCATGATATAAATTTTAGAGAGATACAGATCAGCCTGTAGTACTTAGAAGGACCCAGGGATTTGCCCTGTAGGAAGCTGTCTCCAAGGAAGACTTCATTTTTGAAATGTGTGTAATGTTTCTCACAGTATCATTTTCTTTTTTTTTTTTTTTGACAGGCAGAGTGGATAGTGAGAGAGAGAGAGATAAAGGTCTTCCTTTACCGTTGCTTCAACCTCCAATGGCTGCTGCGGCCAGTGCGCTGTGGCCAGTGCACCAAGCTGATCTGAAGCTGGGAGTCAAGTGCCTCTCCTGGTCTCCCATGCAGGTGTAGGGCCCAAGCACTTGGGCCATCCTCCACTGCACTCCCGGGCCACAGCAGAGAGCTGGCCTGGAAGAGGGGCAACTGGGACAGAATCCGGTGCCCCAAATGGGACTAGAACCCGGTGTGCCGGTGCCGCAAGGTGGAGGATTAGCCTATTGAACCATGGCACCAGCCTCATGGTATCATTTTCAATACCGTATGTAAATATTGCTGCATGCATGAACATGCATGTGCACAAACCCCTGTATACATTAGATACATTATTGTGAAGATGTTTAATGCTTGCATGGAGGTAAAGTTAATATAGTAATCCATATGATGACATACTGGGGCCAGCAGTGTGGAATAGAAGGTTGAGCCTCTGCCTGCAGTGCCAGCACCCCATATATGTGTGGGTTCAAGTCCTGGCTGCTCAACTGCTCATCCAACTGCCTGCTGATGCACCTGGGAAAGCAGCAGAAGATGGCCCAAGTGCTTGGACCCTGCACCCACATGAGAGACCTAGAAGAAGCCTCTGGATCCTAGCTTCAGCCTAGTGTAGCCCCAGCTGTTGCTGCCATTTGGGGAGTGAACTAATGGATGGATGTTCCATCTCTATCTCTCCCTCCCTCTCCCTCACCCTTTCTCCCTCCCCTTCCTTCCCTTCCTCCTCTTCTCTCTGTATCTCTGCCTTTCAAATAAACAAATCTTATTTAAAAATGACACAGTAACAAACATTAAAACATTATGAAAAGTAGAAAAATGATAAAACTGAATAAGTGTGTTATCCAATATCTAATTCCTAAAACATAAACAGCAAACAAGGAGTGTTTTCTTAACATGGTTAAATTTTTTAAATTATAATTACTCAAAACTTAAACTTTTCATTATAGGGACACAATGGCAAGCTACTTTACCAAAAGCATAAATCCAATACCACTATAGTAATTTTTCATTATTGTTTCCTATTTTTTCAATATTATCTACTTAATTGTGAATTATGGTGGGCTTTTCTGCTCTTTGAATACCACTTATAGTATTTAAGAAATTTACAAATTTATCATCGAGTGTGTTTTTTCAACCCAGGCACTGATATTGCCAGTTTAGTGAACACTGGGGTGGCCACTGCAGGATTTAAAATGAAATTTATATTATAATGACATAGGTCTCCCTAAAATCTTCAAAGCCTCCAAAGCACATAAATTATCACATCAGTAATTTATTAGAGATATTTGATTTAGTTTTATTTTTATGGTTAATGTGTCATTACTGTTTGGCAGTTAGAAATATAATTGATAAAGCAGGACTAAGAACCAAAGGGATCACATAAACAAGAATAGTGTCTGCAAACACTAGCTGATAGAATCAAAAAGGCAGAGAATGATCCAACATGGGAAGTGAGATACACAGCAGACCCATAGAATGGCAAATGTCCTAACAGCACTCTGGCCTCAGAATCAGCCCTTAAGGCATGCGGATCCTGCTGAAATGCCCAGGAGAGTATTTCAGGCATGGAAAGCCAAGACACTCTGGGGGAGAAAAAAAAAAAAACTAAATGAAAGATCTCTGTGAGTGAGATCCCAGTGGAAAGAATGGGTCATCAAAGAAGGAGGTACCTTTCTCTGAAGGGAGGAGAGAACTTCCACTTTGACCATGGCCTTGTCTACATATGATCAGAGTCAGTGAACTCAGGGGGCTTCCATAGCCTTGGCAGCTCATGACAAGAGCCTAGGGTGATTACTGAGGCCATAAACAAGAGTGTCAATTTGTTAAGTCAACAACAGGAGTCACTGTGCACTTACTCCTCATGTAGGATCTTTGTCCTTAGTGTGCTGTACATTGAGATTTAATGCTATAACTAGTACTCAAACAGTATTTTTCACTTTATGTTTCTGTGTGGGAGCAAACTGTTGAAATCTTTACTTAATGCATGCTAAACTGATCTTCTGTATATAAAGAGAATCGAAAATGAATCTTGATGTGAATGGAAGGGGAGAGGGAGTGGATAAGGTGAGGGTTGCGGGTGGGAGGGACGTTATGAGGGGGAAGTCATTGTAATCCATATTCTGTACTTTGGAAATTTATATTCATTAAATAAATGTTAAAAAAAAAGTAAGCATTAAGATTGCATGTTTCCTAGAAAGAATTTTGGCATGACAGTGTGAGTATATGTCTGCCTTCATTTTAGTAGGATTTATAAAAAATGTTTTAAAAAGATATATTACTTATTCATTTGAAAGGCAGAGTGACAAAGGGTGGGAGAGTTTACTCCATCAATGGCCCAAGGATCCAGACAAAGCAAGGCCAAAGCCAGTAGCCCCAAATTCCTTTTGGTTTCCCATATGTGACAGGGGCTAAAGCATTTGGACAATCATTTGTTGTTATTCCAGGTGCATTATCAGGAAACCAGATCAGATTCATAGTAGCTAGGACTGGAACTGGTTTTCTAATGCAGATGCCAAGTAGTTCAAATGGTGGCTTTACCACAATGCCAGCCCTGACAAATTTTGTTTAAAAGAAAGGAAAATTCTTGTACCTTCCCTAGAAATGGTTCCAAAGACACTTGCAAGTAAAGAAATATTTACTGAAGACAGATTTGTTAAGAGCAGAGAGACTCAGTGCTTATGGATCCAGACCTGTTTCCTACCTTCCCTATCACAACTCAGTGCAATGGAAACTCCAATCCTAAGTGCAACTGAGAACACATGGCACTCTCTCCTGCTAGCTGCCAGCTTGGGATGACATCCTCATTTTTTTTCCTGTCCTCAGTTGCCTACTGCCAGAACTATGTGCTGGGTGAGTGTAGCTGAGAGGAAGGGCTCAGACCACACTTGAATAATGGAGACTCTGTATTGGGCATTAGGATGCTTGGATCTCATCCCCACAACATGCAATGTCCACTGTAGGCACATCCATAGAAACAGTACATTTGCAGTGACTTTGGGTTGAAAGTATTAGGGATATTAAAGAGACAGCCTTCTTTTTATTTATTTTTTATTTTATAAGCAAGGACAAATAACAATGAAAGAAAGTTTCCACCTGCTGGGTCATTCTCCATTCAAAACAAATAAGACTGAGCTAAGTTAAAATTGGAAGCTGGTAAGATAGGCATGATAACACTGAGAATTAAGTATTAATTGGGATGCTCACTTCCCTTTTCAGAGGGTCAGTTCAGATCCCAGCCACTTTGCTCCTAATCCAGCTTCTGACTATTAGGCCTGGGAAGGCAACCCATGTTGGCCCACACCAGTATGGGAGATGAGACCTGCATGGAATTCCTCAGCCCTAATTTTGCCTTGGCCCAACTTTGGCTGTTGTAGGTATTTGGAGAGATGGGGGCATAAACCACCAGATGGAAAAATCTCTGTCACTCTCTCTGAATTTCAAATAAATTATTTTTAAACAGTTATAAATTGGGAGCTAGGCACTCAATTTTGGTCAACAATGTAGCTAGGTGTCCCAACTACTTGAGCCTGTACCTTCTGGGTGATACAGACCTAGGGTGACCATTAGCAAGAAGCTGGAGCTGAATCAGGATGGAGCTGGGACTCAAACCCAGGCTGTCTGGGATGTGCTGACCCAAGCAGTTTATTAACCACTAAACTCAACCTCAACACTTTAAGGAGATAAAAAAAAAATTATAAAATTGTCAATGGTGATGGTTACAACTGAATGAAAACAGTGAATTGTATAGGTACTATTAACAGATGAATCTCATGGGAATTTGCATTTATATCCAATTATGCTATTTAAGAAAATTATATAACTTAGAATATATTGTATTATTTCAAACTTTTCATGTAATGTATATTTTAGTGTCTCAAATTCCAATGCACATAAAATGTCGACTTTCCTCTGTAGGTTACATTGCATATTTACATATAAATATGAATATAAATGTAAGACCAAGGGATGACAGCATATTAACTAGATAAGGAACAGTGATTGATTCAGGACCAAGGGATATTGGTTAAAAGATGACATTAATCTTTTCTGTATATCTTTTCTGAGAATAAAATTAAGAAATGAATTAACATGAAACAAACCATGGTCAGACATCAGAGGCATGTGAATATATAATTTACCAGAGATGAATCTGAGAAGACTAACATTTGGGACTGACATTGTGGTGCAGTAGGTTAGGACACTGCTTGCAATGCTGGCATCCTATATTGGCATGTCATTTGGAGTCCTGGCTACTCTGCTTCTGATCCACATTCCTGTGAGTGTGTTTGGGAAAGCAGTGGAACATGGCCCAAGAACTTGGATCCCTACCAGCCATATAGGAGACCCAGATAGAATGGCCTGGTCCTGACTCCTGGCCCCATCCTGGCTGTTGCAGACACTTGGGGAGTGAGCCACAAGAACGAAGATCCATCTATCTCTTTGTCAGTCTCTCCTGCCTCTCTCCTTATTTCCCTTTCAAATAAATCTTTAAAAAAGAAAAAGATTAACCTCATTTCATAATCCTTGTGATGGAATCTTAATTACCCAATCTCCTTTCTATTCATCTCTCCCTTTATACTACAGGGACTATTTATTCCCATTCATCCAGTACAAATTACTTACTAGAATTGCTGTCATGACTTGGTGCTCAAAAACATGAACTGCAATCATCATATGATATCTATACTTAAGAAACAGATAAAGAAGTTGCTTAAGGTTAGCCATCTATTTGTGAGTATGTTCTTCCCGCTTTTATTCATATCAGGACTCCTCATTGAATCCAAATATCTGACCCCAGTAGGAACAGCTCCCATTGAAAGAGGTATGTGATGACCAAGGGAACAATTCCTGGGAATGGGTATGAGAAACCAGTATGTTGTGTTGCTAAACTAGTTCTTTGATCCCTGAAAGTTCATTTTTTTTATTTCAAGGAATGTGTCATAGAGACCCATTTTTTTAAGCATGTAATTTCTTCTGTGTCCTGAGATGAGAGTTCCTAGGCTATAAATTCAATTTTGCACAATAGTCACTAAAGGGCAATGGCAGGATCAGAGAAGGCTTGGGAATTTCAACAGGGCAAACCATAGGTGAGGCACAAAGAAAGCCAGGGATAGGCTGTGGGTCAAGAGTCAATACCCTGTCCTACTCCACTCAAGCCCATCTCAATTCTAGCCATCTTCATATGAGAGCTCCATGAAACCCTCTGTTGGCCTCTTTGCCTAGTTTGTAACATAAACCATGAGTAGAGGGAAAAGTTCAGATCTATTTCTTAGAACAGTAAGTGATTTGTTAGATATTTAGATGGACAGATGGATTTCAGAAGCTCTTAGTTATGTAACTAATGGAGATTGAAACCTTTGTATTTGTGGACACTTTTTGTTTCAAAATATGCACTAGAATAGTTTTCCTCAACTCTGGAATATGACCCAAGGATGGAACACTAATTATTTTAGTAGAAAAGACTAAGTATCTTTATATGACCATACTTCCCCTCCCCATACTGTCTATGGATTGTGTGAATCAATATGTTTATAATGCAAGTTTTTCTCTTTTAATATCAGTTACCCATTTTTTGACAATCATAAATGTTGCAGAGATTCAGTGTTGGTCCGTTTCCAATTATTATTTTTTAATTTTTTTTTTGATAGGCAGAGTAGACAGTGAGAGAGACAGAGAGAAAGGTCTTCCTTTTCCCATTGGTTCACCCCACAATAGCCGCTACAGCTGGTGTGCTATGGCTGGTGCACCACACTGATCTGAAGCCAGGATCCAAGTGCTTCTCCTGGTCTCCCATGTGGGTGCAGGGCCCAAGCACTTGGGCCATCCTCCATTTTCCTCCTGGGCCACAGCAGAGAGCTGTACTGGAAGAGGAGCAACTGGGACAGAATACAGCACCCCAACTGGGACTAGAGCCCGGTGTGCTGGCACCACAGGTGGAGCATTAGCCTATTGAGCCACAGCGCCGGCCCATTTCTAATTATATAAAATGTGAGCAAATCAGACTACTGCTGATAATCACTTGTAAAATATAAATAAAATGCAATACAGTGCCCAACTAGAGTATAAAATATTTCAATATATTCTTTTTTAAAAAAGATTTAGTTATTCATTTGAAAGTCAGAGGAGAGGCAAAGACAGACAGAGAGAGAGGTCTTCCATCCTATGGTTCATTCCCCCATTGGCCGCAATAGCTGGAGCTGTGCTGATCCGCCTTCTTCTGGGTCTCCCAGGCCCAGGGGCTCAAGCACTTCGATCACCCTCCACTGCTTTCCCAAGGCACAGCAAAGAGCTGGACTGGAAATGGAGCAGCCAGGTTTCAAACTGGCACTCATATGGGATGCTGGCACTTAAGGCCAGGATGTTAAACCACTGTGTCACAGCACCAGCCCCTCAATACATTCTTATGATATCCAGGCATTTTGTGTGGCAGCAGCCTAGCTGACAGAGTTGGCATGACTCATGCTCACGAACAGGTCTATGTGAAGGTCTCTTGATTGTATATGGCATGCAATTAAATTCTTCCTTACCAAGAGTATATCAGCATTTGATATATAACAAATCAACAAAAATTTATGTTATAATTTTCTTTGTAATTATTTTTTAAAAGGCTGAGCATCAGAGAAGGGGTGGAGGAGGGAGGGACAAAGGATGAGGGAGAAAGAGAGACTGTTCCATCTACTGCTTGATTCACTCTCTAATTATCCTAACAGCCAGGGCTATGCCAGGCTGAAGCCAGAAGGAAATAATCTTACCTGCATCTCTTTTGAGGGTAACAGGAACCCAAGTACTTATCCATCATCCACTACCTCCCAGGTACAACAACAGGGTGTTTTATTTTAAGTATGGAATAACCAGGATGAAAACCACAAATTTGCTTATGGGATGTGTGTCCCAAGCAATATTCTAATCTGCATCACCATATACAACCCTCTCAAGTTTGGTGGTTTGCTCTGGCTCTTGCCCAAACTCTGTGTCTCCAATAGGCAAGTCCCAGACTTCTTCATAATATAAATGTTTAATAAGGTAAACTCCAATAAGCAAGTACTTTTCAAAGTGTGTAGGTTTCATATTTACTGATGTCCAGATGTGTAAAGCAAGAAAAATGGTAATGCCAAGGATCATTGTGATGAAGATTATTTGAAGGCTTGTGTGTTGGGAGGTGTGTTATTTGGGATAATTACTAGGAAAGTATAGTACAATAAGTATGTATTATATCCATTTTTACTGTACAGTTGTGGGTAAAAATACACAGATTGCTAAATGACTAAATTCTATAGGATTTTCAGTATATGGACAGACTCCTGTTCAGTACATCTGTAGTAATACCAAAGTAGTTAATACCACTCAAGTATTTTTTTTCTGTAGTATGGTTTTAGTGACAAAATGATGTTTATTTCTATGATATACTGAAATTTGTTTAAACAGTCATCCTGAAAATAATAAATTGCTTCTCAGTCATAACATTAGCTTTTTTATTTAAAGATATATTTTATTTATTAAAAAGACAGAGTTACAGAGAGAGGTAGAGACAGAGAGAGAGGTCTTCTATCTGCTGGTTCACTCTCCAGATGGCTGCAATGGCTGGAGCTGCACCGATCCAAAGCCAGGAGCTAGGAGCTTCTTCTGGATCTTCCATGTGGGTGCAGAGGCCCAAGGACTTGGGCCATCTTCTACTGCTATCCCAAGCCATAGCAGACAGCAGGATCAGAAGAGGAGCAGCTGGTACTAGAATCATTGCCCATATGGGAAGCCGGTGCTTCAGGCCAGGGCATTAACCCACTGTGCTACAGTACCGGCCCTATCACTTGCTTTTTAAAAATAAGTAACAACAAAATGATTCCATTAACCTAAGGATAACTAGATTTAATCACTGCCAGTTAGTAAAATTTTGGGTGCTCTTTCAGGATCTTCCCTTCCCCTTATCAAGTGTAAATTGCTAAATCACCACAGAGATTGTTTCTGTTTCTCCAGCTAATATATCTATAATTCTGCATTCATTTCTATCATGATCTTCCCTACATTGTAGAGTCTAAGTGCAAGCGAGACCAGTTCTCTTACAACTCCCTGTATTCACTTTCTTTCCAGGTGTAATTGTAGATACCACTACATGTTTCAGGGGCCAAAGAAAATGAATACAACACCAGTAAGTTGTTTACTTATTTCTCAACTTGTTTTACATTGTATTATAGGAGCTTTATGAGCATTTTAAATTAAAATGGAAACATAAAAGTGATAAACAAGGTAGTATTGTCATAGTTATAAGGTATTAGAGCCATCAGAGCTGATTGTAAATTTGTCTACAGTCTTTCTGGTGCCTCAAAGACATATCTGTTACATGGTCCAAATCAGAAATTAGAATTTGCTAAATTCTAGTGGAAAATGAAGTCTGGAATAGTATTTATTGGTCATATGATGCTAAAGTGGAAGTGGTTTAGTTCCAATCTAGAAATAAACATACAACATTCTGCACTGGTAAGAGTTGCTAACTGGTAATAAATCAGTTAATAAAGTGTTTTAGGAATTGTGAAAATACCCTTGGGAGACTGTACCAGATTTATGGATTGGACTGGGGTTGTGTGGAGAGCAGAATCTCTTCAGGTTCTTAAACAGCTCTACATACATTTCTTCCTGCCAGACTATACATGCTGGTTGTGCTGCAAACTTCCCAAAGCTCTGTCTTCCAGCAAATCATTCCATTCTTCATTCATACTTTAAGCTACTCAAAGTACCCTCAATTCAAATAGTCAAATATTTATCAATGTCATTAAGTATATTGTCTGGCTTTTTCCTTGCTTGAATCTTTTACATTTAAAATATATTTACATATTTGAGAATTAGAAAGAGAGACAGGTAGATTAGGAGAAATCAAAGAGCGTCTTATCCACTAACTTACTCTCCTAAATATCCATAGTAACCAAGAATGAATCCAAGAGCCAGGAATGTACTCCTTTTCCCTGACATGAGTGGTAGAAGCCTAATTACTTGGATTATCACCACTGCCTCCCAGCACATGCGGTAGCATAAAATTGGACTCAAAAGCAAGAGCTGGGAATAAAAACAAGCACTGTTAACTAGAATTAGAATATCTTTTTAAAATTTTATTTGTTTATATAAGTAGAACAGATTTCATGCATTTCCTATATATGGTTTTAAGAGCATGATGATACTTTCACTCTCCCTTCCCTTCCTCCTTTTCCCTTTCTTATTTTTCTTTAATTTGTGTGATAGCACATTTTCAAGTTACTTTATAATCACAAGCTCAGCCCTCCACTAAATAAGAATTCAACAAGTAGATAGTAGAAACGTCACTGTTCCTGAGGAATATAGAAAAGGGATACAGATGATAATCAGATCTCAAGATGTCAGTTTCACTCATACATTTTTTTCTGCTGTATAGGCTACCAAAAATCAGAGAAAATATTTTTGTATTTTTAGGGTTGACCTGTTTCAGTAGGCATAATTGTCTTCAATTGCATCCATTTTGTTGCAGAAGAAGGATTTCATTCTTTTTTATGGCTGAGTAGTATTCCATTTTATATATGTGTGTGTGTACACACATACACACACACACACATACCACATTTGCTTTATCTAGTCATCAGTTTATGGACATCTGGGTTGATTCCCTATCTTAGCTATTATGAATTGAGCTGCTATATAAAGTTGGGGGCACAGGTAATTCTTTCATATGCTGATTTTATTTCCTTTGGGTAAATTCCCAGGAGTGGGATGACTATGTCATATGTTATATCCATTTTTGGATTTCTGAAGAATCTCCAAAATGTCTTCCATAATGATTGTGTTAGTTCACATTCCCACCTAAGTGTATTAGGGTATATTTTGCCTACATTCTTGCTAATATTTATTTGGAGGGGCACTTTTGGGTGAAAGCCATTCTTACTGGGGTGAAGTGAAACCTCATTATGGTTTTTATTTTCATTTCTCTTGTGCAAATCTTGTTGCCTTGGCTTTGGTTCTAGGTGAACCCAGGATTGTAGTGTCTGAGTGAGTCCTTTTATTTTAGTGGCTGTCAGCTGTGTCTGTTAGTAACACAATGGTCTAGTCAGCTGCAGTTCCTAGGGATGAATAAGTGTTTCTTTGGGTGTGCATCTTTGGTCCACAGATTCTGTGTTAGTCTCCCTGATGATTGTGATAGCCAAGGGCTTGTTCTTGGTGCTGAGGAAGATGAGGATGGCTGGTCCTTGACTTACTGGCAAGCTTGAGTGATACTGGGATTTGTGGCACTGATTTCTGTGGCTTTAGGACTGTGCGATATGGATTGTCCCTTCCTCAGTTCTTGGTAAGAGAGTCCAACTGGTACTTTGTTGAGTAATAACAACAACCCTAGTCCTAGGACTAGGTGTACAGGTTTTACTCTGCAGAGTATGGGTCCAGAGAGGAGGAATGCAAGCAGGTTCTTCCCTATGTCCACTGGGTAGATTTCAGTGGCACCCAGAAATTTACAATAAATTGTTACAGTCCTGGTCTTTCAGGTATAGTGGATCATTACCCAGATCTCCTGGGGTGGGAACAAACATTTTTATGGCCTGCTTCTGGTGGTAGCCCCCAGAAGCTAAGGTGATTTTCTCTGGCTCAGGTAGAGTATGTGAGTGTAGCTCTGCCCCCAAACTCCCACAGATGCAGGATGCAGGGATCTGTCTTTTACCTTACACATTGCCCTGACTCTACAGTGCTGGTAGGAGCAGAGCAGAGGCTCACTGTGTATCTTCTCTGCTCAGTGTCATGCTCTGCAGGAATCAGGGAGGGGAAGGAAGCAAGGAGGCTTCCTTGCTCCAAGCTCATCAGTTGCTCAGAACCCCATCAGCTCTCAGGTTGAGGTAGGAAGTCAGTGGGTGACTGACTTTTTTTTTTTTACTTCTTTGTCTAACATTTCAGTCAGTCACTTCTCTGGAAAATAGTATTTCCTTTGTTCTGTTCATATCTCAGAGCAGCTTAAGTCATTATGGCTATACCCGATTCAGCCATCTTGGATCTCACCATGATATATTTTGATTTGTAGCTCATCATTTATTCTGTTGTTGTAAATGTTGGACAGTGATTTATAAATATTATTTTGGTCAATACTGTCATTCATGTTTATGGTTGATGTTTTATTAGTTTCATCAATTACTATAAAATGTAAATCAATTTTCTAACATTACTTTTGAGGATTTTTCTTAAGTTTCTTTTTTAGTTTTGTGGACTTTGTTTCATATCATTTGAGGTTTTGTTTTTAGGCACATTAGCATTTATAATGATATGATCAGCCTGATGTATTATCTGTTTATTATGATGAAAAGTCCCTGAGTATTTCTTTAGCCATATAAGACCCAAAAAATCATTTGGTTTGACCCTGCCAAGACACCACAGGTGGTATTATTAATTCAAGGAGCTAATAACAAGCTAATTTTAAGTTGATAATTTTGTATGGACAGCACATAATGTTGTAATATCCAAATGGCCTTTGTCAGTAAAAAATGCTCCTATGTTCCTAACTCCTACTAATCCAAGTATTCATTTTGTATCATTTTATTTGAAAATGAACTGCTTCTTTTATATTATATTCTCATTTTCCTGTTCAGAAAATGTCTTTTGTATACTTCATGGATTAATGCTTTATTTATTTTTATTTACTTGATAAAAATTAAGAGCTCTATCTGCTGTTTCACTCCCTCAAATACCTGCAATGGCTGGAACAGGGTTGAGGCTAAAGCCAGGAGGCTGGAACTCAATCCAGATCACTCATGTGGATATCTGTGACCCAGCTACTAGAGCCATCATCTGGCACTTACCTGGTGTGCATTATTATGAAGTTAAATCACAAGCAAGGTTAGGAACTTTGATATGAGATGTGAGCATCCAAAGAAGCAGCTTAACCCAATGAGCGAAAATACCTGCCCTTGTTCATCTCATATTTTACAGCAATTAACACTACATATAGGATCAAAGATGGAAGGATATTTTTTTCAGTGTAGTGAAGATTTCTTTCACTAATTTCTGAGGAGAAGTCAGCTATCATTCATACATAGCTGACCCAGTAGGCTGTTGTTTCTTTCACAACATTCAAGGTCTGTTCTTTGTATTTGGAATCCTTCATTTTATTTGCCTTTAGTAGCTTTCTATCTGTTGATTAAGGGGTCACTGAACATTTCAAATCTATAAATTGATGTTTTTTTAATAAAATTTGAGAAGCTTTTCACCATTTCAAAATACATATTTTGTTTTTCATTTATTCTCTTCCTACTGAAATTTATTGCAGTTATGAGGGACTTCACAAAGATTCTGGAAAGTTGAAAGAAAAAAGTTTATTTTAGTGCAAAAATGTTAGTAACCCATGCATAAAACTGGTCTATAAGTTCATTGAAAATGCATAAATGCATACTATAAAACATGATTCATAAAGGATATGGAAAGTGTGTATTTGTAGATTAAATTTTTTTTAACCAAAGTGAACTTTTCTTTTTAATTCTGCATTTTAAATGTTAGATTACTTTCTATATTGTTCCTGGACTTCTGAAGCTTTGCATATTTATGTAGTATCTTTCATTAATTAAAAAAGGCTTTTAGGGGGTGACACTGTGGCATGGTGGGCTAAGCCTCTGGCTGTGGTGCTGGCATCCCATATTGGTACCAGTTTGTATCCCAGATGCTCCTTTTCCAATCCAGCTTATGGCCTGGGAAGGCAGCAGAAGGTGGCCCAAGTGCTTGGTTCTCTGTACCCACATGGGAGACCCAGAGGAATCTCCTGGCTTCTGATTGGCTTAGCTCTGGCTGAGCCATCTGGAAAGTGAACCAGTGGATGGAGGAACTTTCTGTCTTTCATTCTGTCTGTAACTCTGCCTCTCAAATTAATACATACAGTCTTTAAATAAAAAATGTCTTTTGATCTATGTCCATCTTAGTCTCTTTGTGATAAGACTGTCAAACAGGTTATTTAGAAAGAAAACATTTTTGCCAAATGTATTTACTTTAAAATACTTTTTTCAAAATGTATGTACTTTCTCTTTCTGTTAATAAAAGAGAGAGGGAGAGAACAAGGGAGATTCTATCACCTGTTTCACTCACAATAGGATAATTTGGGACATGCTCAGGCTGACTTGCCCCAAGTGGTGGAGTTGGAAGCATACCAGGGGATTCCAATTC